TAGTCACAGTTGGTTACACTCAGATCCTTGGCACCTGAGTATGGATATAAAGTCATCAGGTAGATTTCAGTAGTAATGTTTATCACCTCTACTAATTAGCATGACATAAACTTCCATGCTTCCTCCTCAAATATAATACATTTAAAAAAATTTTTTTTTGTGTGTGTATGTGTTTGTGTACCACACAGAACATCCCAAACTATCTCATTCAACTATATACCCACTTCCCAGATAGCACCCTCCCATAGCCTTCCTCCCCTCACTAGAGCCCTTATACTCTGATATCCCTGCTACTGTCTGCTGTGTTGTTGGCACCCCCAGTCATTCGCCAATACTTGTCCTTCTGGTGAATCTAGTCAGCCTGTCTAGAGGTCTTTGTTTCAGGAGGGTCAGCTGTTCCTCATTTAGCAGTAATCAGTTGTTAATATTCCTTTAGATAAGCTGGGGGTCTGTTGTTCATTGTCCCAGTTCTATGCTGGGTTACTATCTGGGAGTCCCTTTGGCCACCCTGGCCAACAACTTCAAAAGAAGGTATCACCTGTCTGGCATTGTTGCTTGTTATGTAGCCTTTAGCTATACATATGGACTCTTGAGAAATTATATTGGCCCCTTTAATCTTTGGTTATACTTTCCTTTTGGGTGTTTAAGACCACACAGTTGGTCCAGATAAACCAAATTATTTTTACTCTTAAGGACGTTTGAGGATCTGTGCCTCAGGGGTCACATGGGCTTGGGAGGAGCCCCTGGCACCTTTCTTTCACCAGTTCTGGCTATGTGAAGATAAGTCAAAGGTCCTGCTCGACCATGGTTGGCTTCATTTGGAAGCATGGAGGAAATGATTCCTCTGTGCTGACCCTCCTCTTTGTAGACTAGACAGGGGTTCAAGTCCATCTGGTGGGATCTCCTCAGCCTCCTTGATCAAGAGGACGGGTGACCCACCACCATTATAGGACATTTTGAGAGATGCTCATAGTCCCCTGGAACTAGTCAACCTAGGAGGGCAAGGAGCAAAAAGTGTCCTTTATGTCCCTCTGACCAAATTAAAAAAAAGTATGTCCCTCAAAGTATGTCTGTTAAACACCCAAGAAGGTTAGTTCTACCAGTCTGGTATTTTTAATTACTGTGTGTCATGTAGATAAATCTTGGACAAAGACCAGTTGTTCTCAGATAAACCTTACCTAGACATATATTACTTGATCTGCTATGTATAATTTGGCAGTAGGTTGTTGGACTAATATGGCTCCCTCTGGTTTTTAAAACTAGCTAGGCATTATTTATCTCTCTCATTGTCTCACCCCTCCATCATGGTTTCTCCAATTAAGGTGCCCCCATTTACCTCCTTTCTCCCTTACTAATACCCTTCTCTTATTGTCCTACCTCTCTTGAGCTCCTTTTTTCCCTTTATCCCCTAGGTTCCTTGTATGACCTTCCCTCCCCCTCCCTTAAACTAACCCAATTTTTATCCATATCTTCCTTATTAAGGCCTGTTTTCTACTGTTCTTCTCTTTCAGGTTCTTTCTTTTCCTTTACCTCCCTGTTTCCTTTCCATTATCCTGATTCCTGTAGTTATGTCTGGCTACATACTCACTTATCAGGGTTTGCCTCTAGGATCCATATGTGAGGGAGAACATATGTTGATCTTTTTTCTGAGTCTGTGTTACTTCATTTAGTATAACAGTTTCTAGGTCCATCCATTTACCTGCAAATTTCATTATTTCATCTTTCTTTACTGTTGGATAGAACTCCATTGTGTAAATATACCACATTTTTGTTAACCACTCGTCAATTGAGGGGCACTAGGTTGCTTCCATTTCTTAGCTATTGTGAAAAGAGCAGTAACAAACATGGATGTACAAGTGTCTCTGCAATAGGATGAGTTCTTTGGGTATATGCCAAGGAGTGGTATAACTGGGTCAAATGGTAGGTTCATTTGTAGTTTTTCAAGAGTTCTCCACACTGCTTTCTGTAGGGATTGAACCAGTTTGCAGCCCCACCAGCAGTGGATGAGTGTTCCCCTTTCCCCACATCACTCCAACATTTGGTATCATTTGTTCTCTTGATCTTAGCCACTCTGACTGGGGTAAGATGAATCTTAAAGTGGTTTTAATTTGCATTTCCCTAATTATTAATGATGTTGAACATCTTTTAAGATGTTTCATAGCCATCTTTACTTCTTCTTTTGAGAACTCTCTGTTCAACTCCTAGCCCATCTTTTAATTGGGTTGCTTCTTGTCTTGATTCTCTGTTTTTTGAGTTCGTTATATATTTTGGATATTAAACATCTTTCAGATGTGTCGTTGGTGAAGATTTTCTTCCATTCTGTGGGCTTTCTGCTTACTTCTTTTGTTGTCTCCTTTGATGTACAGAAGCTTTGTAGTTTAATGAGGTCCCATTTGTTAATTCTTGCCCTTGTTTCCTGGGAAAATTATGTACAGTTTAGAAAATCCTTTCCTATG